GGGGTTTTAGAGTTTAGGGTTTTGGGTTTCCTCTCTTGGCGTTTAGGCTTAGGGAGTTTATTTGGGTTTCGGACTTTGGCGCTTTTTTTCGGGGTTCACAGCGTTGAAAGGGTTGTTGAGGGTTTGGTGAGGGTGTGGGAGATAGAAATACTTGCCAGATTCAGGGGTGCTGAAAGTGAGAGGTCTATTTCGGGTTTATCTTATGTCGGTTTTGCAGAGTTTTCCAAGTTTTGCATCCGAGGTTTAGGGTTCAGTGCTCTCCGGTTTGGGTTCGTTGCGGCTTTAAACGCCGACCATTCTTTTCAAACCTAAGAGTGTTGTGACTCGGCAGGGGTTGAAATGCAAATTCCTAGTTCAAACTTGAACCTGAAAGTTGGAATGGAGCTCAAAGTTGGAATTCATGAAGCTTGGAATTTTTTTAAACTTGGAATAGGTCAAATCTCCACCCTATCACTGTGCAGGAAATTTGGGTTTGCATATTCCAAGATTTGGGCTTTCACCATAGGGCATTGGGCGAGGTAGGCTGAGGGTCGTTGAGGGTTAAGGTCTTAGAGTTCAGAGGTTAGCACTGGCGGGTGCTCGGTTCGACCGCAGTATAGCCATAATGAGGAACTCCGAAGTACTGTAACTATATTAGAAAAGTCCTGGTAGAAACCCGAGTAAGATTCGACAAAAGTCCTTGCTGTGGGCCCGAAGGCGTGGGTGTGGCCGGCAACCAGACCCTGGCAAGCTCAGCAGCTCAGCTCAAACTTTACAGGATCCAGAAATTCGACTGGTAAGTGTTTCGGAGCTACCAAAGGTTGGGCTTTCAAGGGTTGGAATGGCTCCACTTTTTCCGGTATGCAGCTCGGGTTAAGGGGTTTAGGTTTGAACGCAGCCTAATGTGCGTGAAGCAGTCAGACAGGGAAGAGAGGTATTGCCATAAGCAACGAAGGTTGAAGATGTCCTTGTCTTTATGGGCCGAGGGGCCGAGGTTCAAGCCTGTCGGGTGTACCTTCACAGAAGCTTTATAGTAGAAGCCAGAAAGTTGATTAGGATGATTAGTGCTCGGATCCCTTTTACTTTACCTTAAGGGCATGAGGATAATGATGTTCCAACTTTCCGGCTACTACTATATAGTACCCGTATAGAGTCTCTTTTGTGCCCATACAGGACCCTTACAGCCTTATAGTACCCTTGCAATAAGCCTTGGATCCTAATCCAGAAATCCCCAAGTCCTAACATGTAGGGCCTGACGGATTTATGAAGACCCTACACAAACCCTAAACCCGAAATCCTAAAAATCCTAAACCCGAAATCCTACAAATTCTAAACCCGAAATCCCAAAAAATCCTAAACCCCAAACCGTCAAGCCTCGATTTCCCTCCCGCAGCCCTGAACCCAAAAGTCGCTTCTTCAGAGAGCAATGTCAAAATTAGGGTCCCTTTTTGGGCATCCTAAAGAATAGGTGCCGTAGTATAATAGGGACCCCCCAAAAATGGACCCCTTATTTTGACAACTACCCAGGAGTGCTTCGACATTAGGACGAACCAGTGGACCACCCTCCCATCGCTCCTTGGCCCTGCAGTTTAAAGTTTAGGGAATTGAGGGTTTAAGAGCCTAGGGCGGTGGGGTCCACGCAGGGGTCTTTGAGGTTTTGTGTCCTTGAAAAGCGAGCAACCTGATCTCTAAACCCAGAACCCTACTGCCCAAACGTTAAGCTGCCAACCCCGCGTTGGTGAAAGCGGCTTCCGGAGCCGTAGTGCTAAAGCGGAAGGCTTCCGAACTTGGGACGGAAGAGATTATCTTCGACATGTCGGACTTGCTCGAAGAAGTCTACAATGATGGCTATGTGGAAAACACAAGCTGGACCCAGTCATCCGACATTGGCATGGACGCTGCGATGAGGGTCGTGGTTCCGGAGAACTTGATGACCAAGTACAATGCCGGTCAAGACCTCAGGCAGCCTGTTGTGCGAGACTTGGAGTTCGATCAAGCAAAAGGAGCCGTGGATCCTGAAGAGAGGCTGAAGAACCTCGACTTCGCTGACTTCTGGGATGAGTACTACAACGGAATGAAGTCGACCTTTGCAGTTGTGCTGAAGAGGATGACTTTCCTTGTATGGCTTGTCTTCATGGACGCTTGTGCGGTGAACAAAGCCATCAGAGAAAAGGCATCTGCCTTGGGACAAGCATTGACTGATGAAACGCTCATCAAAGTCCACATTCTGCGGGCACTTGTCATCACTTTGGACCTCTTCGCCACAGGGGAGAATCGAGACTTGGTGTACCAGCCGGCAAACAACCAAGAATTCGATGGCGACGTCAATGTGTGTGCGGCGATGAACAAAAAGTACTTGCAGGTGAGTTTCTTTCATGGCGCTCTCGCTCTCCTCTTCATGAGGTCGATCAACTCATACAAGACAAAACATGCAACTACAGGTCCCACGTTACCAGCCAGTCAGGCTGTAGCGGCAGGAGCTGAGCTGGGGATCAAAATCAGCAAGGCTGATAGCAAGAACAAAACCGCTGAGGGAATGGGTCAGCTGGCTTTTTTATCCTTCGACACACCACGTCGACCCTTCTACCTACCTGACCTTTGCCATTCCCGAACTCGGTACGAGAAGGGTTCGTAACATCCTCTGTCTTCTCAAGAAGCCAACATTCCTGGAGTACGAACGCCTAAGAGCGGCAGCGCTCCCTGCCGGGACGGCTTTGGTGCAACTTGCGTACGCATTCCTCTTGCACATGCTCGAGACGGGATTCATAGTTCTTATCGCGGACGAGCAGTTGGTGATGAATTCGCTCAGCCTATACGAGATCTGCAAGACAGCTGGAGCCGCTGCGAGCATTGACGCAACGTATTATGGTCGTGTCGGAATTGCTGTCGACGTCAAAGTGATCGAACCCATGCTCAGCTACATCAAGTCCTATCATGAAACCATGGGACTTTGCGGCACGCTGGCCCGCTCTCCCAGGGTCGCAAACCCGGACGTGGAAAGTGCCCCAAAAGAGTTCGTCGATAAACTGAAGGGCATCAAGATGGCTGTGGACACGTCAGCTATGGAGGCTGCTTTGCAGCTTATCACGGGCTCAGTGCAATCGACAACTGTCGCAAAGCTGGGAGGCCTTTCATCAATGTTCAGAGCTAACAGGGAGAAATTCCGAGGATTCGATCGAACTGGCAAACTCCAGGTTGCTGACGGAGCAGGTGTCAAGGCTCTCGAGTTGAAGCCTCTCGATGAAGAAGAACTCAAGAAGCAGGCGGCCACTATCGCTCAGGCTGCTACAGCCGCAGGAGCCCCTGATCGCCGTGGAGCAGGAGGTGAACCTTGTCTCTGCAGACCATGAAGGGAGGCACCAGGATGCTGACGTCAGTGCTGGTGACATGGGGCCTTCTCCTCGTGAGTATTCCTCTTGGCGTGACTTGTGAGTATTCCTTGTGGCGTCCCTCGTGAATGGTTGCCCATTCCAGTGCACCTGCTGATCTCGCTTGCCTATGTGTGGCTGCCTGCGATCGACCAATACACGATTCTGTGGGGCGACATGTACATGAGTTTGAGAGGTCACGTGAGTTTGAGAGGTCCCTTCGTTTTGTGTCTGAGTTCAGTCTCACTTCTACAAGCCCTCGGAGGGCAGGCTGCTGCAGGAGAAAGGCCGCCATTGTAGGTTAAAAAAAAGTTAAGTCCCAAACCCTATCACTCTAGGTCTTCATGCCTGGACCTCAAACAACTAAACCTTGAATCCCAACCACACACACCCGAGCTTAAATCCCAAACCGCAATAGAGCATTTGCCTTAGTAGTCCCTCTAGTAGTTATACTCTAGTTTGTTGCCAACCATAAATAGTAGCAACAGTACCAGTACTAGCAACAGTGATAGTAGCTGTAACAAGAACAAGAAGAAGAGCGATAGTAGTGTAGCAATGAGAGTACTGGCCATAAGGGCCATAGTGATAGTAGTGCCTCAGTAGTGATAGTGATCATCTTTATTTATGCTACCAACAACAGTCTGAGCACCTTCGGCCCAGTTCTTGTCAACCGTGAGGATGCCACAGGCAACCTGCGGATGTGCTGCTGCGGCAGCCGAGCGCTAATGTGCAGCCCCAATGGCACGAAAAAGCGGTTTAGCTTTTACGGCGTTTACTACTTAGGGTGCCGGCAGACTGCAATGATTGAAGCGGATGACTCAACCGAGTGGCGGATTGTAGTTGTAGGTGGTAATAGTAGTTTTGGATTATATAATACCCCCTGGCACGAGCATAATTCTACTATGAGAAATAACAATAATGATAATCACAACAACGACAACAACAACAACCTGCTACTACAACTACAACTACAACTACTACTGCTACTGCTACTGCTACTGCTGGTCCTCCTACTACTACTCTGGCTTTACATGGCCGCACAGCCAAGTATCTTGTTAGGGAGTAGACGCACTCGTAAACGACTCGAATACAATAATTAATAAGTAAAGTATGACACGGTATATCCCCGAAACGTACTACTCAAACGAGTGCGGTCGAGATAGATGTAGTCCCCTTTTTCCAGGAAATGGCCAGCAATGTTGCCTAGTAGACCGACTGATGGCAAGAATAACTTAGCAGTTAAGCGTCAAGACTTGTGGCAACAACAACAACAACAGCACTCGCAAGGATAGTGTGAATGCCCTGCATGAGCCCAAATGACAACCAGGCTTCTCAAATCGAAGCCCTACAAAACCTAAAGATCTACGGCCCTAAAGCTGTAAATCCCTCAGAACAAAACTCATGCCAAAAACGTGGCACCGTTTATGCACCCTACAAGGTAGCGGCATTTTTGTTTTCACCACAAAGTGGCACCATAAATGCTTCCATACTGGGGACCACCAGTCCACCTGAAAAGCCAAAATCTCCAGAGCCCGAAACCGCAAACCCTAAGGCCCCACACTCCAAACCCCAACACCTCTGACCCCTAGCCCTTGTAGCACTACCCTACAGTACCCTTGCAGAAACCTTATGCCTGCAACCGACCTCGATGAGGCCCTCGTAGATTCTTCGCTGGTTTGTGACGCGCGGGTGCCCGGAACCCCCAGGCTTAGGGCTTGAGGTCTTAGAGATGTTCTGTGCAAGGACGTTGGAGGATTTGTCAGGGCTTTTCAGGGGTTTAGAGGCTTGTCAGAGTTTCACGAAGGTTTTTTTGTTGACTTTAGAAGGTCTTCGTTGTTTTTTAGAAGGCCCTTCGGAAGGGCCTTGTACGCTGTTGTACTGACTTTGGATCATACCATTTTGGGTCTACGTTGTGTTTGTGCTTGGGATAGAGGGTTCATTGTTCAGTTCAGACAAGGACGGTGTGGTTTCAGTGGAGAAGTAGCAGGTGTGAATTTAGATGCCCTGATTGTAAGTTCCTATATAAAACAGCTATGATATGAGTTATGTGAGTTAAACCATTGTTTAGGTATTGAGGACGTTATAAGTTATATTATCTTAAGAATCAACAGCTTTTTCGTAGCTCTCAAGATGTATTCCACTCCGGACGCAAAGCCGAGACTGAAAGCCTCAGACTCTTATCCAAGCCATGGGCACTTCCGAAACAAACACGTACAAACACCAAAAGGCGGGATTCCCAAAAGTATACATATGCTTGCTGCCCCGCTGCGATCCCCCGAGCCCGACTGTGCTGGACCTTCCAAAATCCTGAGCCTTTTTAGCCCTAAACCCTCACACACCAAACAGGGCTACAGTCCCTGCCAGGATCCCGTAAAGACAGTGGATCGCTTGGCGCAGGCGCAGAGTGACGCTAGTGTCAGGTTCTTTTGGGGTGTGCTCGGAGGTTCGGGTTAGCCGGGGAAGCGTGAAGCGGGCAGGAGCAGGAGGTAGCGCTGTCACTAGCACAAGCATCCGGCCAGAATCCTGGTTTGCGTCGCCACCCGGAAGTTGTTCTGAATTTCTGAGCCCGTTTTCTGAACATGCTGAAGGCACTCCAGGCGATTCCATCTGTGGACGAGAGCCCGAAACCTTCGGGGCAAACCGGGTCATGAGGGTGTGTTAAGTTAAGGGCAAGCCTTAATGACTCCCTTACTGTCAGCCTATGTTTTAGGGTTACCAACAAGGATGTGTGTGTGTGTGTGTGTGTCTGCGTAGATGTTTTTGCGAAAGTGAACACACATACGTTCCTCATTTTGGTAAGTTAGACTGAGCGGCTTGGCAAGAGCCGACACGTCCGAAGCCAAGACAAGACCACGTCCACGTACTTTCATCCAAGCGCTAAAGCCTTGAATGCCAGGGAGCTCCAGCCATCCCAGTTTTGAGTTATTACTAGGACCTAGAGTAGGCCCTTATTTCCTTTTTTAGGGTTCAGGTACCCTTATAAGCCCCTCTAAACCAAAAAGGGCACCCTTTTTATTCCTAGGTTACTCTTGGGTCTAGATTAGCAATCATCATCGATTCCCTGATCGTCCATATATAGTGATACGGTAATATACCCGCCCAAAAAAAGTATTCTAGACAGAAGGCCTCAGTAGAGCGCTGACAGGTTCCGGGACCTTCGAATCAAGCCTGCAGAAATCCTTCGCTTTAAGCTTACATGTGCGGCCTAATAACTCCAAAAATCGTGAGCTGTAAGCACGAATATGGATGCTTAAATAATTACCAATATGTACTGCAGTATAATATACCCGTTTCCAACTAATTATTAAGGTCCCCATAGCAGATCCTTTCAGCTATCGCTCCTGGATCCCCGAATTGGGGTTAAGGATGTCGCCAAAGCTCCCAAGGCCAGTAAACCCACCCTCCTTAGCCCCATGAGCCCGGAATGGTAAGCTACTGAACCCTTCAAACAAGCCGAGGTTGACATTCCACTGCACATCACTTACGGCAAACTTTTTCGTAATTCAAGAGCCTAATATAGCTAGTACCAGTACTATTCCTTGGGGTTGCCTAATATAGTCATAGTGTAACAAACCGTACTCTAAGCAAACAACCTGAGTCTCAAAGCAGCCAGGCAGGCGCCAGCGGGGTTGTTTTTCTGCACTCGGCAGATGGCTACGGCCCCAGCGCCAGCTTGTGAAAAAGATCCCTTGAATGAGATCAGCACTACAGGGCCTTGATAATTTCCTGTACTATTGTGGGGTTCCCTATTATATTCTCAGGGTTTCTTTCAGGTTTCTAGTCAACCATTTCGTAGTCGGAAGTGGCTGTGGCACTAGGACCCTGTCATTGCTCAGCGACAACTCCCGTCCGTGCCACTTCAGGTTCGCCCCACAGCCCACACTCCCAAACATAGGGCGGTAGCCTTTTGCTTTGGGGATTTTTCACTGGGCTTGAGTGCCTCAGTGCTGCAAATCCGTCCATGAGCCTGCATGTCGAATCCCTAAACCTGGTACCATGAACCCCGCACCCGAAACCTGGATTCCGTAGAGCTTCAACACAAAAAGTCCTGAATCCTGAACACTGAAATCTACATGCTGAACCCGAAACCCGGATCTGTAAAACCCCAAGTCTTAAACGTTAGTATAAAGCCGTGGTCATAAAACCCTTTTCGCACACCCTTGTGGTGAAACCCTTCTGCTACTCCCTAATTCTAATCATTAAAGCACCGCTATTGGCTGTAAAGCTTATGGACTCGATACTCTCTCTTGTTTTTCTTCACTGATTACACAGAGCCCATCTCACAAAACCCTTGTAAGAGCCTTGCGAAAAGCCTGATCTTCGTCTGGGCCCTGAAGTACCATGCTTGAATACTTTTGTTGGACCTGTTCCTTAAAGGAACAATCATGAAATACTATGTGTTTCTCACTGGCTACCTCAAACTCCAGTCATAGTTTTCCTGACGGCTCCTTCGCATATTCTTTCTATGTATGTATATACATATATATATATATATATATATATATGTATATATATATATATATAGTGTGTGTGCATGTATATGTATATATATATATATGTATATACACAGCATACTGTATGTATAATATGTATATATATATACATATATATTATTGAGTATTATTACATATATGTGTACTAAGTATCCTAGGCATCGCCCCCCTGGCCTTGGGTGATCGCCCCACGCCGGAGATCAGGGCGGCCAGGGCCCTGGCATCTTCGAGCTCCTTCTCAGGATCCTTAGAGGGTTCCTTTAAGGGCCTAAGGGTTCCTTCAAGGGTACTATAGGGTTCCCCCTTAACGGATCCTTTTCAGGATCCTTGGAGAGTTCTCGTTGGGGATTTAGGTGCAGGGTGTAGGTCTAGGCTTTTGGGGATTGGGTTTAGGTTCCGAGTTTAGGGCTTTGAGCTCAGGATCTTAGAGGGTTCTCTGTGGGGCCTCTGTAGGGGTTTAGGGTTTAGGGTTTAGGTCTAGGTATGTTTAGGGCTGCTTCTAGGGATCCTTACGAGGTTCTATAAGGCTTGGGTTTAGGGTTTAGGGTCCAATCCTAAGCGTTCCTTTAAGGGCCTAAGGGTTCCTTCAAGGGTACTATAGGGTTCTATAATAGGGTTCCCCCTTAACGGATCCTCTAAGGGCTCCTTTTCAGGATGCTGGGAGGGTGCTCTGTGGGGCCTCTGTAGGGCTTTATAGGGGTTTAGGTGCAGGGTGTAGGTCTGTAGGTCTAGGGTTTTTGGGATTGGGTTTAGGTTTCGGGTTTAGGGCTTTGGGCCCAAATTGCAGGGGTTTTAGGTGCCAGAAATCTTTCAGGAAAATAGTATGTGTGCTCTAAAAACTTATTCTGAGTGGTGGTGCTTCTATGTGCGTAGTGGGTTCCGCATGTAGCTTTTGTAATTTCATCGGTCGAGCAATCTTTGTGTAAGTTGCGGGTACAGCGGTTTAGGGTTTAGGGGATATATGGGTCTAGGATGAGGCTGTTGACTTTGACAGTTTGGGGGTCTGGGGTCGTCCTGGCAGTTTGCACTCATAGGTTGCGATATGGTGAACCTTAATGCATAGCGCTAGAGACCCGAGGCCCGTGGCCCTGAAAACTATTCGCCACGCATCCCAAACCGAGTGCTTTACAGGTAAAGCTCAAGTCCAAGGCATGTATGCTTGGCCCCACACAACGCAGCTTTGAATATGCGCCGTGGTATCCTCCACAGAACGACCGCTTTTCTGTCAGGGTTGGGCAAGTGCCATGTCACACTACCAGTCGCTTCACTAAGGAGTTGACTGAGTTCGGTTGCTACAGCCTGCTGCAGCACTGGTACACGGACTGCGCTGTCTGTGTCTCTGACGTACACGCCATCGTGGAGCCATACTATCCCTTGCGCAATATCAGGTAGCATCGAGACGAGCAGCACTCTGGCCAGTCGGCTCTCAACTGCCTCAAGCATGAAATAAACCCAGTTGCGAGAGGTGGATCGTTGATCTCGCTGGTACCATTGCAGTCGATGCATGTTAGTGGCAAGGTAAGCTTTCGCTACCGAGGCGAAGGAAAGGCCGCACTGGTGCAGCTGCCCGATGGCTTTGGCCGCAGAGCTATTACGGCCCTGTGGGGCGGCTGAGCTGCGGTGATAGTCATTGGCAACGAGCGTTCTAGAAGGGAAGGCCTGCCAAAGATCACGCCACTACAGCCTGTGCCAAGCTCTCAAGACCGCCTCAACAACCCGAACGCTAACACCCAAGCCTCTAGACCACACAACCCTAAGCCCGAAGCCCCAAAACTAAACCCTAAACCCTATAAGCCCTAAACCCTAAGCCCGAAGCCCCAACACCCTAAAGCCTAACATTTCGACCAGGTGGTCATCGAGCGTTCGCCGGGGTTGGCTCTGGCAGAACGGCTTATGAGAGACGAGGCACAGAGTAGGGAGTAATTACTTGGACCGTTAGGGTATTCAGTAATATAAAGTGCTACTCTGTGAGGTTCCCTATCATGATAGTTCCAGTACCACATACCTGCACGCCCAAATAATTCGAATTAAGTAATCCGGCCCCTATACTGCCACAGCTTTGAAGGTTTGCTGGCTACGGGTAGGGCTTGGTAGTGCACTGCTACTTGCTGTTGAGCGGTCTATGTTGCTGTGGACTGATGTGCTCAGGTCTTTGGCGCTGCTTTGTAAGGGTTGTGGTAGGCGTATCTTTCGCCATGTTTTGTATTGAACGGCTCAGTTTTTAAGCGTTCCGGGTTTTAATTTGGGATCCTAGTACCACAGACCCGCAGTAAATTTCTGTCCTTGCAATGTGGACCCCTCAGTAGTTCAAGCCGCCGTAAGTGCTCACCGTCTGGCGCCTTGTACTTCTGCTGCAAGAGCTTGTCCCGAGAATGTTTCAAGGAATGCACAGGCCTTGCGCAAATAAACACTATCTACCCACTTATCTACCTATCTATCTATCTGTCTATCGATCTAGCATCCATAGATCAATCTTCTTTGTTTGTGTTTGTATGCATGTTACATACATACATACATACCTACATACATACATACATACATACATACAAACATACTACATAGAGATCTACATACCGTACATACCTACATGTTTACAAGTTTAGAACGAAGTTCGTTTGCATATGCACCCGTCCAAATCCTAAACCCGAGAACTAAGACAACTCAGAGTTTTCTCAAAGCCTTAACCCACATCCCCAAACCCTCAACTCAAACCCCTAAACCCTGACCCCCCCAGAAATCCTGAAGCCTTTGCCCGGGGGTTAACGTCAGGTTTTGGAGGTGGAGCTCTTTAAGGGCAAGTTGATCTCGGAGGAGGCTTATGAGGCCGACGCCGGGTTTTAGGGTTTGGGGTTGGTATGTTTCGGGTTGTGGGATTAGGGTTTCGCGGTTTCGGGTTTAGGGATCAGGGTTTAGGGCTTTAGGGGTTAGGGTTAAGGGTTACATCAGCATTCCTCTCAGGGATCTATAAGGCATCATTTGCAGTCTCCTTTGTGGTTGGGGTTCTATGAGGGCCCCAAGCGTTCCTGTAAGGAAGGGTTCCTTCAAGGCTTCCTTGAAGGCTTCTTTGAGGGATCCTTCGGGTTCGCTTTAGGGTTCTCTAGAAGGCTGGGTAAGCTTCCGCTTCGCTGTAAGGGAGTTCCGGCTTTGGGGTTTCAGGTGCAGGTTAGGGTGCAGGGTTGACGTCGTAGTGCAGGCCTCGGGGTTCGGTACTGCATTTCACAGTTTGCATGTGCGGGTATGCGCGAGGCCATCAACCATCAACTGCAAAGCCGAATCACGCCACTTCAACAAACAGGCACAACATCCGAAGTCAGCTCGAGAGCCTTGATGATTGAACCACTCTCAGCCCTAAATGTCTAGGAGCAGTTCATCTTCCGTGTGGATGAGTTTCTCGCCACACGAAAGCGCAGCGGCCGAGCTTGCAGCCAATCGTGTTCGGGTTATCAGAAAACCTTATAAGCCCCCCCCCTTCAAGTGACTTTCTGAGACCTAGATAAGGGTTGAAGGCTTTAGGGTATAGGGCTTAAGGCTGAAGGATTTGAATGTGGTCTCACGATTCTCGTCGTGGTTTCACGTCAGCAAGCGGATATAAGCTGTATAACTCCTGTGCACCCCGGCGCAGCCATAGTTACCATAGTGTGTGGTGCCCTGAAACCGAGTACTCACCATTAAACGCTTGTTGAGGATGAACCCTAAACCCGGAACCCCTAGATGACGCTTCAGCTTTCACTCTCAACTCTCCATCACCGCCGCCTCGCGGAGAGCGGCTTTACCGGCAGGTGGCTTGGGGCGTGGAGTTCAGGGTGTGGCGTTTAGAGAAGTTGGGGGGTTGTAGGGTGTCTAGTCTTTACAGTGGAAGCCAGAAAGTTGGAACATCATTCTCCTCATGCCCTTAAGGTAAAGCATAAGGGATCCTAGCACTAATCCTCCTAACACTAATCCTCCTAAAGCCATGTTCCAACTTTCTGGCTTCTACTGTAGGATGTCTGAACTTCGCATTCTTGACCTCGAGCTTGTTGCTGTGGTTCCGTGTTGTCACGTTGTGTAGTACTCTTACTTAGTTCCACAGGTTGACGCGTGAGGCCCGAGCCCACTTCCTTCAGGGGAGCTTGTGAGGGAGTGATGTTTGAGAATTCTCAGACACTCGGCGCCATGTCTTCCGTCCAGACCTTCCAAGATCCCTTGATTAGGGAATATACCTTAAATCGTATTCGGGATCTTCCAATATTTTAAGAACTGTTCCTGTATGAATTAAGGGAGTTTGGAAGGTCTGGGTGTTTGGCCCTATCAACACCCTATAGACGCCTCTACCACTCTACATCCTAAGATCCTCTAACTTAACTTCACTGGAGGCTTCCGGTACCTCTAGCCTCTTACGCATTACCAAGTTTTGCGGAAAGGAAGCCTATTCCGAAGAACAGCCCGCCAATAACCCCTTGTCAAAACAGTATGTCTCTGGACAACTTCTAAAGAGACTCCTATGTACAAGTCTGTCTGGTTCTTAGTAGTGAATGGGGGAATAAATCGCTATAGTAGCATCTATGTTATCCCGAATAATAGTTCCCAATATCCATTCCCCCATTCCAACCAGACACAAGAATCTCCTGGGGAGATCAAATCCTCTGAGTTTACCCCAAACCATAAACCCTTGTGACCTCGGTGCTCCCTCTGTGATGGAAGGGTCGTCAATGTTGGGATGGCAATGTCACTTCGGGGCGTGTTGGAGGATCTGATGCTGGGGTCGTCCGTGAGGAGCACTACTGAAGCAGGGCCTTTATGGATGTAGTTGAGAGCCGACTGCCGGCAGACGTAAACGTCAACTCAACTTTAAACAAGAACCTAGGGTTTAGGGTTAGGGTATCAGCCGTCGAGTCATCACAAAGCCGCGATTGATTTTGATGTTTAGGGCTCGTGTGCTCTAGCATCTAGTGCTTCTGGGCTTGAGGCATTTTGGGGTAAGTGTGGCATCGTGTTGGCCATACTTCCCAAAAGTTTGTCACCCTAATGAGCTCAAAGTCCTTCATCATTCCCAAGACTCCTAAACCCTCAACCCTAGCCCTAAGCCCTAAACCCTATAAGCCCTATAAACCCTAAACCCTAGCTCGTGCACATGAGCAGGTCATGTCAAGACTGGTTCTCGCTGCAGCGGCGCTCTCGGCAGCCCATGGCTTCAAGGCGAAGCGATAAGCTTACTTATTCGTCAATTGGCGAACTTCGAACTTTTTGGCTGTTTATTGGTCTATCTTACAAAGCTTGGACTCTTTTTGAGCCTGGCTATTGGAGAGGAGAGTAAGTTAGAATAGGGTTGCCTGGTAGACTGGTCATAAGAACAGCGTGTAGAGGGCCCATTACGACAGTATCTTGGCGTTCTTCTGGTTGGCTCTTAGGACTTTAACTTTTTGGGTTTCTATCTGAACCATTACAAGGAGGCTAAAAGTTTAACTTTTAAGAGGGGTTCAGAAGTCAGCCAAGGTATGTAAATACTTATCTGGGCGCGGAAAGGAGATACTCTTCCCTTTTTTACGGCTTCCGTAGTGCCGCGCAGATGCAAGATGCAAGGAAACTTTGACGGTTTCAGACGTAAGGTTGTCACCCAAGACGCGCGAGGTCAATTCCCCAAAGCTGCCAGTGTTGCCAATCATGATCGTGAGATCTTTGTGCTACGCGTATGTCGTGTTCTTGTTGCCGTTGTCGTCGGTGATGGTGGTGGTGGTGGTGGTGCGGTGGTACGCTACCCGCAAACACGCCTTCTAAAGTTGTTGGAAAGCTCGTCTGCGAGACATATCCTTCAGCCGTTGCCCGCCCATGTTTCACCAGTTTATGTCGCGGGTCGTGTGAATCAGGATATTATACTGTCCGCACTTGTATTCAGCAAACTTCTGCTGCATGAACGGAGTGAGGTTTGTTCGACAAGATTCTGTGCATTGTGGAGCTTGCAAGTGAGTCTTCAACAGCCCCAGTGTTTCAAACCCCCCTCCCACCTAAACCACTTTAAGAATAGGGTTTCATAGCTACATTACATGCGCGCATATGCGTAGACAGATGTTTCTAGCTATAGTATGCCTACGGAGAGGCAACGAAATACACGAGTAACTCGATTATATACTTGGACAGTGGTGCCAGAAGGGGCTAATTACTGAGCAGATGCGCCGTTGGTAACTGGACTTTGATTCCGTGTGTTCCCCTGCCTCCTCGCCTGCCAGGCTAGCATCCAAACCGGCTTCGCCAGGCACATCGGAAGCTGCTGTTGCCGTAGATGGTACGATGTAGCCAATGTAGCCTATTACGGCATGGGAATGCTCGGAAATGGCAATCCAGAGCGCTGCCCCCCCTACTACAGGGGTTTATGTTTAGGGATGCTATTCCCTTCCAGGGAATGTAATACCCCCAATTCACTATGCATTGCCCTATTCCTTCGCAGCAGCGGTTCCTGTCCCTCTCAAGAACTAGCGGTCGTATTCCCTCTGAAGTGCTCATATTGATCACAGTAAAGCATACCCCAAACTGTAGACCACTCTCGATGACCCCTATAATAAAGGGTTGAGGATTAGGCCTCCTTCGTAGGAGTGTCTTTTCAGTCCCGGTGTTAGGGGAGCCAAAAGGGCTATTGGGCCGTGGGCTTCCGGTTTTGGGGGGCCTAAACCCTTAAACCCTATAAACCCCAAACCCCTAAACCCCTAAACCCCTAAACCCGAAGCCCCTAAGCCTTACACCCTAAACCCCTAAACCCCTAAACCCGAAGCCCCTAAGCCTTAAACCCTAAACCCCTAAACCCCTAAACCCGAAGCCCCTAAGCCTTAAACCCTAAACCCCTAAACCCCTAAACCCCTAAACCCCCAAACCCCTAAACCCCTAAACCCCTAAACCCTAAACCCCCTAAACCCTAAACCCCCTAAACCCCCTAAACCCTAAACCCCCTAAACCCCTAAACCCCTAAACCCTATAAACCCCTAAACCCCTAAACCCCTAAACCCCTAAACCCCCAAACCCCTAAACCCCTAAACCCCTAAACCCTAAACCCCCTAAACCCTAAACCCCCTAAACCCCCTAAACCCCCTAAACCCTAAACCCTAAACCCTAAACCCCTAAACCCGAAGCCCATAGGTCACGAAAAGCCTTGCTTGAAGTGGAGAACAGCTGGGAGACTTCTTTGGAGACCATCGAGGCAAGGTTCCGGGCCCTTAGCGAGAGATTCAGATTTGAGGTTTAGAGTTTAGGGTTTAGGGTTTAGGGAGACTTGGGATTCGATTTGGGAATCAAGGTTTAGCTTGTTGGGGTGTAAGGTTTACGATGGTAGAAGGTATGGTGAACCCCTGAAAGTTGGAACACGGGTTTAGGATGATTAGTGTCAGGATGTCGCTGTAACTTACCTTCATGGCATGAGGATAGGGATGTTCCAACTTTCTGGCTTCCACTGTAGGGTGTTTAGAGGGCTTCGTTTTGGGATTTATACGGTCTGAGGTTTAACGAGCGGGCCCGCTGCACTGGGGAGTGTTGGGCTGGGCGGGTGGACGTCGAAACTGAATGAGTACTACAAAGAAACAAGCACAGGTGCATGGATGCATACACAAAACAGACTCTCCCCCTCTCTCACACTCAGCCTCTGTCACACACACACACATATATATATATATATACACACACACCTCTCTCTCTATATATATATATATATATATACATATATATATATATATATATGTATATATATACATACACATATGTATACATATGTATGCATACATAGACACGCACACACACACACACACATATATATATATATACATATATATATATATATATATACATACATATCTCTCTATATATATATATATGCATGTTTTCACGCGTAATACATGCATACATATACATATATGCATGCATGCATGCATGGGTGTAGCCATGTAGCTATGTAACTACGTAAATACTTCTGCATGCATGCATGTATGTGTGTATATGAGTATTTCATGAGTGGATGGATGGACGGATGGATAGATGGATGGACGGACGGATGGATGGATGGATGGACGGACGGGGATGGATGGATGGATGGTTGGATGGATGCATTGTATGTAATGCACTGCAATATAATGTATTGTATATAATAAAATGTAATATACCGTAATGATTGTCATGTAATGAATGGATGGACGCACGGATGCATGGATGTATGCATGGATGTACTTGTGTGTGTATATACATATATATATATATATACACATACGCATGTAAGTATTCACACACATAGCATCCCACAAACACATGACTCTCCAGAACCCTAGAAGTGCTCGAGGCCTCACTAATCTCTTGGCACGGTGCCGTTCCCTCGGAGCTCGCTCACGCCATGCTGCGCCTGGGGAAGATCCAGGTGCAGTTTTTTCAGGTCTTACAGCGGTTCTACAGGTGC